CGGGTGGGGGGGTTGGCCTGGAAGCAAGGCCGGGAAGAACTGTAGACGGAGTGACGGGATACTGAGAGGCCATTTGTAGATGTAGATGAGGAAACTGGCTCAGAGAAGTGATGGATGTGACTTTTCCAAGATCACATGCCATTGAGGGAGGAGCTAAAAAGCAGGGAAGATGCTGACATTTAGTGAGAAAATATTTACTATTTGTCAGACACTACGCAATGGACTTAGTGCATTGTTTTACTTAATAATCACAATCACTACCTAGATTTTATTGTTTTATGAATAAGGAAGCACGCTCAGAGAGGCTAAACTGCCCAAACTGAATAGCTAGAATGTGGCAAGGAGTGGGAGTTCCGACATAGGTCTTCGGACTCCCAATATTTTGATCTTTTCATTATACCACATTGTGGGGTAATTTTCTGATTTCACACATTCTAAGTTGGGGGAGTAAGAAAGAGTAGAATGGCTGCTCCCTCACCTCCTATTAGACTGAGGGAGACCTAGAGCATGTGCAGAAAACTAGCAAACTGAGAGGCCCAGAGAGCAGGTGAAGACACACACCCTTGTTCATAGAATCTGTCAGCCAGGCTGGATTCTTCTGAGTTCTCTCTCTCTCTCTCTCTCTCTCTCTCACACACACACACACACAAAACACCCCTTTGTCAGCTAACCATTATGCCATTTTTACCTAGGTAAATGTCTCTCTCTCTCTCTCTCTCTCTCTCTCTCTCTCTCTTTCTCTCCCCCCCTCTCCCTCTCCCTCTCCCTCTCCCTCTCCTGAAATCCAGATGAATGAAATGCACCTGGTGAGATGAAAGTTAGAACCCAGAGGAAAAGCTGTGAGAAATAGGAAGCTTGAAAAGGGGGAAATTAATCTCCTGGGATATGTCTGCTGATGGTGGAGGGAGGAACTCTTTGTAGGATTCTTAAGTGAAAGACTCTGAGGATGGACCGAGAGGAGACGGGAAATGAGAGCATGCCTAAAGCCTTTAACCCTGGAGGACACAGGACACTGGCCTTTTCTTCCACAACCACAGTTGGTCAGTTGGACTCCTGGGAGGAAGGTGGGTGGAACGTCTAAGTATCCTGACATCATTATAGCTACAGTTAGCATCACCCTCCCTCCACATTCCTCATCCCCCACACCTCCCACCCGTCGGTCGCAGAGACAAAACAGAGACTTCTGAACACATTTATTTGACATGTCAAGTGGAGAGAGGAGTGATTTGGGGTTGCTCCCCACTTCTACCCACCGAGGGTGTTCATAAGCTCAGACACAAGAGCAGTTGGAGCCCATGGCCCACCCTGGGGAAATGAGGCGCCGTGTGGTATGGTATTGGCTGGGGGGACCCGGTGGGAATAAAAAGCAGGAAGTAGAGAAGTAAAGCTGAGAGCAGGAAGGGCAGCAGCAGAACCGAGGCCGGGATTGCTGCAGGAAACCCTCCAGGAGAAAAGTTATCCTGAACAATGGTTAGGACGGGGAGCAGGGTGTGGGCAGGGAGCCAGGCCTGGAGAGAGAAGCGAGACCCGCAGAACGGGGTGACATGGTCACGGAGAGGGCAGAGTGTGCGAAGTCATGAGAGGGCTGTGTTTCAGGGCACACACGGAAAGCAAGGGACTGCTTCTGTAGGAGGGCAAAGACTGCAGACTACCTATCAGGGGGGCTCCCTACTGCCTCTCAACAAATGCAAGTGAATTTGGGTCCCACGTGGGGCCCTAGCACAAGGGGCCTGTGTGCCTTGCTTGTGGGTAATTCTCATAAGCCTGTGAAGTAACCAGGGCATGAATGCACGTGTCTGTAAGCCCAGTAAAGAGGACGTATCCTTCCCTGCGAATAAGAGTAACTGTGCGTGTGGACAAGCTTGCCCATGTGTGCGTGCACCGTGCCCAGGAGCACATGCAGAAGACACCCCTGCCCGGTGTGTGTGTGTGTGTGTGTGTGTGTGTGTGTGTGTGTGTGTGAGTGTGTAAGCTGGCTCTCCCTCTGTCCGTTAAGGTCCTGATCCCACCCTGGCTCCCGTCCCTCCTCTCAGCGCCCTGGCTCCCCAGGCCCGCCTAGACCCTGGAAGCCCCCGAGCAGGCGGATCTGCTCGTTCTGCATCGAGTGGCGCCTCACCAACTTGCGCTTGGTCCTCGGAGAGCCTGGCGCCCCCGCCTGGGGAGGGGCGGGCAGCGAAGGCGCGCGACCTCCGGGTTGGGGGCGAATGTCGGGG